TATATATAAATAAATATAATGATAGATAATGATTTTTTGTTTGGTGTCTAATATAATCACCATGATCATTTATTATTATTATTATTATTATAAGTGTATCACAATAAACACCACACATTGACACTACATATATGTTAATAGTGTTTGCAACTTTTTTTATTTCAATAATAATAGTTATAATAACAATAATAATGCATTAATAATAAATTATGACAAAAAACCATTTTGTTTCATCCGGTCCTATCGTTACTACAGTTTTCATGTTATATAATATAACGTATATATAAATTATAACTATAATTATTATAGAAAAGATATGGTGACGACAGGACATACATAAATATTTTATTTATATTATTATTAATTTAATTTTTTTTATACTCAATAATACAGTACAACATTTTTATATTTAATATATTAGTGATTAGTTTTTAAACTTATATTTTATTAATTATTTAGTAAATTATTTAAATAAACTAATTGAAAAATTCAATATAATATTATTATATACTGTATAAAAATTAAATTTCATAAATATTTACAAAATTAAGATTACTTTTTTCTATATAATTATTTTCATAAATTTCATATTAACTCTTATTTAATTATCAATTATTAGTTTTTTAATGTTAATTTCAATACTTTTTTCCCGTAATTGAATTTTTCAACAAACTATCATAACATTAAACTTTTTTAAAAAATTAACTAACTTTGTAATTGTCACTAACTTTTAATTACATATTAATGTTAATCTTATTAAATGACAGAAAAAAAATTATTATTTTGTTTATCTAAATATTATTAAATATAAAATTATAATCACATACAGTATATTTATATACAGTATTTAAACTTTATATATATATATATATATATATATATATATAAATAATAAGTAATAAATGTAATAAACTAAAAATGTGAAAATTATTTTTTAATTAATTTAATATCACTGATTTGCACTGTAAGGAATGTGGAGCTCCGGTATCTTTTGAGTTGTATACGTGTAGATGACTTAACCAACATGTGTGTGAAATACATACTCACTCACACAAACACACATAGTCTAAATTACCGGTGCTTTTATATATATATATATATATATATATATATATATTATCGTAAGTACCTATTTTTGTCAACAAAAGCTAAATAGCAGGTAATATTAAAAAGTCATTGAATTTGTAGTTTTTTATTATTTTTATTTGTATTTTTACATTAATAGAGTCTCTTAAATATAAAAATCATTTAATTTTAATGTCAAATAATGACTATTATATTCACTATTTAATGTCTATTAAAGTTAATGGCTAAGCAATAACATACAGTTTAATAACATTATGAATGACTTTTCACATAACATTTTACTATTTTTATATTTATCATATCAAATTGTTTTTTATACAATAAAAATAAATATATAATAAAATAAAATTTAAATCAACGCTAAATGGTATATGTATTTAAATAATGTTATACAACAAATAAATCTAAGTTTAATAAAATACTTTATTTTATTTTTTTCAAGTGTTGTTTATTAATGTTATGCACATGTTTTTAAAAATGTCATTTAACTATAAAACAAAATAAAAATTTATATTTATAATATAAACAATTTTCTCATACATTGATTTTTTGTTTGTTTTATTTGATTAAACATTGAATAAATAGTATGTAATTTTATTTTTACTTTATTTTATTTTTAATATAACATTAGAAATAATACGCCAAACATTTGTTCAAAACTAAAACATTAGTATTATTATTATTATTTAAAAATTTAGATACAAATATTTAGTATTACATACTCTATATGTTTAACATATTTCATATGTTTATTGATATAAGTTATGATAGATTAATGGTTATTAAAAAAAACTTCATATTCATGTACACTAACTTATATCTATGTAATAAATTAAAAGCAATAATCAATTTAAATTTGTGGTCATTTAGACTAACTTTTCTCAACCAATAGTTTATTATTTCGAGGGAAAAAAGATTGTCTCCGAAAAAAATAAATAATAATTAATTACTACTTATGTTTTACCAAAAAATTATCCATTGCTATACTTTATAGTAGTTTATATACAGTATTAATAGTATATAAAGTGTATATGATATTAAAACTATTTAAGCTAATAACACACACTAAATAAAAAACAATAAATAGATTACTGAAAAAAAGATAATAAATAATTTATGCCATTAATTATGATGACAGTCAGTCAGTCAGTACTCTCTGGAAAAAATCCCTTATTTTTTTTGTTAATAAAAGCGATAATCACTTATTTCATGTATAGTTTTTTTGAAGGTTTGACTGTGATATCTATGCAAATGACTGATATTATACATACATAAAATATTTAAATATAATTTATACTTATATATTGATATTGATTATTCATACAGTATATTAGAAATGCATTATTTAGCCTTTAACACCTAAAAAAATAGTTTAAATCTAAGCAAATAAGATATTATTTGACAAATTTGTMTAGGTCTATTCTAGTTATATACTATATATATATATATAATTGAATAATCAATAATATATTTTAGTCATATTTATCATATAAATAGTTTAGACTTTAGATTCAAACGGATTTGTAAACGGAGAGAATAATTTGTGTATTAAATTATTGATTCAAATATATTATATATTATAATAAATAAATAAAAAAAAGTAAATATGTATTAACATAAAAATAAGTGCATCGGATATAATAATTGAAAAATTATTATTTAAACGGTAGTAGTTGTTGTCGGATACAATTGATGTCATCCATGAGCCGATGCCGGGTCCCAGTTAACTGCCAACTAAGTAAAAAATCTATTAAAAACAATAATTAGTATATATTTTTTATTATTATTATTATATATGACTTTGATGAGCAAATCAATAAAAATTTAACACATTGTAATCATAATGTTTTTTTGGTATATTATACAGTACAATATATAAGCGAGGTTCGTTAGTTATTTTGGTGGGGACAGTATGTATCTATGTGTGTGTGTGTGTGTGTGTGTGTGTGTGTGTGTGTGTGTGTGTGTGTGTGTGTGTGTGTGTGTGTGTGTGTGTGTGTGTGTGTGTGTGTGTGTGTGTGTGTGTGTGTGTGTGTGTGTGTGTGTGTGTGTGTGTGTGTGTGTGTGTGTGTGTGTGTGTGTGTGTGTGTGTGTCTATGCCATTCACAAAACAACCCCAAATAATGCGATTTATATCATCAAATAAATCTAGAGCTCAATTCACACCAAATGTTTTTCATTTTGTACAACAAAATTGCTGATCGGTTTGTAGGCCTGATTCGCACAATTGCGGTTGAGATTGGTATATATATATATATAGACAGCACAGGGATGGATATTATTGCTATTGTTGTTGTGTTTGATGCTAATAGAGTAACTAAGGAAGAGATGTGATAACTATTGTATGGTTTTATGTGATATCATATCGAGTGATAAGTTTTGCTATGCAATGCTATGCGAGAGAGAGAGAGAGAGAGAGAGAGAGAGATACTACTATCGATAATATTTGGCCAAAATYCAAGTTCAATGCCTCTCTCTTTCTCTCTCTCTCTCTCTCTCTCTCTCTCTCTCTCTCTCTCTCTCTCTCTCTCTCCCATTGCTCTCAAAACATATATAWTACTGATGATCGCTGAAAATATGAAAGGAGTTATAGCTATTTCACTGATGGGGAACTGTATATATATATATAAGAGGCACCACATATAATGTCGGGAATTCAATTATATGAGAGAAATGTCTTGTCATTATACTGTAGTTTTTTATTACGTATGTACACTAAAAACATATTATATATGTATTAACTTTTTATTTTTTTGTCAACATTTTTTTTAAAAAGACATTTATTATTTGTTTTACTTTTTGTTATTATTTATTATTATTTCTTATTGTTTTTATTTTCTGTTTTTAGCTCTGTTTATATGTTGTGTAAGACTTACTGTTAAATGAGTTCAATACTTAGGCAGATATCATATACAATAGATAAATGATATAAAAAATAATACCCAAACTCTTAAAATAAGTAAAAAGCAGTCATAATATACAGTAGTATTGCTTATAAATCTTATAAAAATTATAATATAAAATAAAAACTAAAACTAAACTTTTATTAGGAAGGAATCCCCAATAGGATGTGATTGCATATTATGGGGTGTAATCCCATGTTAACTGTGCTCATCACTGGTGATGCTGACTATGATAATGATGATAATCATTACTTTTATTTTAAGCAACTAAAAAAAGATATGATATATCAACCAACAAAAAAGTATCGAAAAGAGAGACAAAATGTATTTATTATATGAAAAAAGAAAAATACAATTTCTTAAGCTTTAATTTCTAATTAAATTATGTTAAAATCTATGTAAAACAAAAAAATGTATTAATAATAATGTAATTATTTTTTCTATTAAACGACAGTTTAATCAGTTTTATGTTTTGATTACTAATTAGATATTTTTTTCTTTAAATCAAATAAACGATAAATTTGAATAACCCAAAAATCTATATAAATTTTAATAATCAATTTTTTAAGATTAAATTTTATTATTGTTTTTTATAATAAAATTTTTAAAAAAATTTTAAAAACTACACAAAATCACAGGCAATCAGATATATTATTATATCTATAAATAAAAAACATTTGAGAGCACCCGGTGCTGATGGACATCATCGTTAGTTTAGTCAATACTGGAAGGATTAGTATCCTATGGCTAATGTCGGGCAAAGATCAGAATCACTACAACAACAACCAATCTCTTTGTCAATCAATTTACAACACATTGGAAAAAATATATTTTAAAATTAAAAAAAACTATTTTTATAAAGTATTGTTATTTTTCAAATAAAATTGAAAAATTGTTTTTAAAAAAGAAACAAAATCACAGACACATTCAGACACTTACAAACAGAAAGTACAGAATCAAAAACACAGAATATCTTCAGACATATCTTCAAAATCACAAAATCAAATCATTATGTCATACGATTACGAAGCATATGATATGCCCGATGACGATGAGGAGGAGGAATGGTCTAATAACGGAACTGGCGGTCAAACAACTACTCCGAACAATATATATGGAGGAGTTAGTGGTAGACAAGCAGTTCTGCCATGGAATAGATTAGGAGGAACTGGTAGTGAACTACCATCGTCTCAAAGTAGTCCTTATGGCGTATATGGTGGTAATCTTACAACTGCACCAACCAATATATATGGAGGAACCAGTGGTGGACAAGCAGTTCTGCCATCTAATAGATTAGGAGGAACTGGTGGTGGGCTACCATTGTCTTCAAGTAGTCCCTATTGCGGATATAATGGTAATCTTACAACTGCACCGACCAATATATATGGAGGAACCAGTGGTAGACAAGTAGTTCTGCCATCTAATATATTAGGAGGAATTGGTGGTGGGTTACCATTGTCTCCAAGTGGTAATTATGACGGACTGGGTGGTCAAAGAACGACATCAACATCTATTCAACCCCAATGGAACTCTAGTGCTGGACAAAGAACATCATCTTCAGCATCTTTGGCTAGAAGTAGTTATCAATCCCAACGGAGCACTTCTAGTCGTTCATCTAGAGGTCTACCATCCTCTCGCAGTAGTAGTTTCGGGGGACTTGCTGGTGGGCCAAGACGTACAACTTCACCAAACAGTGGCTATTCTAGCGGAGGATATCTTCCGATGGCTACTGGTCGTCAAAGAAGCACATCAACATCTATTCAACCCCAATGGGACTCTAGTACTGGACAAAGAACACCATCTTCAGCATCTCTGGCTAGAAGTAGTTATCAATCCCAACTGAGCACTTCAAGTCGTTCATCTAGTGGTCTACCATCATATGGAAGTAATAGTTACGGAGCTCGTAGTCGTACAACTTCGTCAAGCAGTGGCATTTCCAGCAGAGGATATCCTTCTATGGCTACTAGTGGTCAAAGAACGACATCAACATCAAGTCAACCACAATGGAGTACTTCTAGTAGTAGCTATAGTGGTGGTGGACTAGCAATGCCTGGGACTAGCAATCTTGGAGCATACAGTTCTGGTGGGTTATCATCGTCCCAACGGCATCAACATCTATTCAATCTCAATGGGGCTCTAGTACTGGACAAACAACACAATTTTCACCATCTATTGGCAGAGGTAGTAGTAGTCAATCACAATGGGATACTTCAGATAGTAGCTATAGTGGTGGTAGACTAGCAATGACACCAAGTAGTAGCAGATTTGGGGCATCCAGTGCTGGCGGGTCTTCTATGGCTACTACTGGCCAAAGAACGCCCGATTCTTTATCATCCCACTGGCGCTCTCCCAGTGCTGGCTTTCGTAGAACCAGTCGTGCTTTAGGAACTGGTGTTGGCGGCGGCGGCGGTAGTAGTAGTAGTATTTGCTGGTGTTGCCGGCAGTGGCTATTCGGCAACAGGTGTTGGTTATACACCAAAACCAATGCGTCCACAATATGATTATAGCTCTCAGAGAAGTTCAACTTTGCAAAAACAACAACATCCACATCTGCGAGTCAGACATAAAGGACCAAAGTCGGCCAACTGGTCGCACGGTTTCAAAAAATGGGTGAAAAACAAGAGGTGAAAAAAGGATCACCACCGCCACAGRTCAACATCGGCCCGTCGCCCAATGTCCGCGACTATATCGGTATGTTTGAGGCGAAAAATCTACCACCGGATAACAGCGACTCCGACTCCTACGCCGACTCACAATTATCAGATGCATCTGATTTTTCGGACTCTTCAATGCATCCAATGAAAGGATCGCCGGTACCATCACTAGCCGGTTCGGATGGATCCAATTCAAGCTATTGGTCAGATCGGAAATATGGTCCAGGACCACTTACCGGCGGATAGTTTCTCCTCAACACTGTACGGAACAACAGTTAGTTTTTGTTTTAGTAAACCCCCGCCCCCCCTCCCCACCAAAAAAAAGAGTACAAATAAAATATTTTAGATTTTTTTAAACAACAAAAAATTGATCAAAACATAACATTCAACTAATAAACAAAAAATAAAATATATTTTATTATTAGTAACTAAATGAATGATTAGTTTTTATATGATTTTTAGTAATCATTATAAATACAAATTATAATTGAATACAATATAAAGTATTATACAGATTCATGTATTTAAAGTGAATTACACTATATTAGACTATATAGTTGCTAAAATAAATACTGTTAATAAAATATATTGATATGTTATATATCAATATATTTTATATAATTAATAATTGCATAAATTTTTATTTTATTTTTTGGATTTACAAATCAGAGAAAATTTAAATTGATTCTATAATATAGTATCAAAATTAATAACAAAATACATTAATATCACTGATTAGTAATCAGTGATTACTCTCTCTCTCTCTCTCTCTCTCTCTCTCTCTCTCTCTCTCTCTCCTCTCTACATGCTCTCTTGAATGCACCTGAAGTATACACTGTACAGGTAGGTTAGGTAAACTATACTATACAGCAACAAAAAATTAACAYTGTGGTGCCCAGGTAGTTAATACATTTTCAATGTTAGCGTTGATACATTATCATCATTGTGTGTCTAATTGCTAAAAATATTAATTTTTCAAAGCATCAAAATAATATAATATAATATCAAAATATTTTGTCTTATAGTTGCAGTTTTTATATTTACTATTATATACTGTATATAATTTACATTAATAGTTAATAATGTTAACTAATAATAAGTTAATATTAATTACTAATTATATATTTTTTTGACAATCAAATGAGCGATAAATTTGAATAACATAAAAAATATATATGAATTAGTTATTAATATATATTCAATAATCAGTTCCTGAATTCCAATAATGAATATTAAATTTTCAAAAAAAATTGTTGTTTTTACAATAAAATTAAAAATAAAAAATTAACAAAAGAGTAGACAGAATCACAGATATAAGTCGTAAACTTTTTGAGACAAACAGATACCGACGACACAAACAGATTATTATGTCATTTAATGAACAATTTGGAGCACCCGGTCATAGTTTAGGTAACAATACTGGAAGGAGGTATTCAATGGCTAATTACGGGCAAAGATCGCAATCACTTCAACGACAAACTCTTCGTCGACCTAACACAAGACGACAAATTTCGAACCAACAGTTGTGGACCAAAGCTAGTGGTGGTAATGACTATCGTGGAACTAGTGGTCATCAGCTACTATCAGTTCCTTCAAGCAATAGTAGCTATCAAGGAATGGGTGGTAGATTAGGAGTGCCTCCAAGTAGCCCATTTGGGACACCCGGTCGTCGTACTGCCAGCTTTGCCAATACTGGATGCTATCCTATGGTTAATGCAGATTCATTATCTCTCCGGAGGAATACTACTAGTGGTCGCTATAGTGGAACTGGTTGTGGACTAGCAATCCCTTCAAGTAATGGAAATGGAGGAACTGGTGGGGGATTAGCCGTATCTAGCAATGGGTTTTCTAGGAATAGTTCAATGCCCTTTCAATCTAGTGGTAACTATCAATTAGATTCTAGTGATGATGATGACAGCTATTTACCCGAATCCATGAACAATGAAACTGTCAATCGAAACATTTCACAAATGGAAGGAGTGATGGACGGGTTGGAAACAAATCGGTCCTTTCAGTCCACACAAAGCAGACAATCATTACCACCATCGATATCACAGCAAAGACATTTGAAACGTGATCAYCGGGGAGCTGAGGTAGGTAAACTAATTGCCCAATTCGAGGCTCTAGGTCGACCACCTGCATCGCAAACATTGCAAAGACATCTAAAACGCGATCACAGAGGTCCAGGAGTTGGCAAATTAGTCTCTCATTTTGAAAAYTTAGGAAAAAAACCGGGAAGTAGTTATGGCGGRCCGGGTAGCTGTGGCTATTCTAGCGGAGGATATCCTCCGATGGATACTGGTCTTCAAAGAAGGACATCAACATCAAGTCAACCCCAATGGGGTACTTCTAGTAGTAGCTATAGTGGTGGTGGACTAGAAATGCCTCGGACTAGAAGTCTTGGGACATCCAGTTCTGGTGGGTATCYTATGGTTAGTGATGACCAAAGACTGCCATCTTTAGAATCTCTTAGTCGGACACCATCGAAGCCAACACTCGAGAGACACCTGAAACGCGATCATCGGGGAAAACAGGTCAGTCAATTGATCGACTATTATGAGGGTAAGGGACGACCACAAACACCACCAACACTACAAAGACATCTAAAACGCGACCACAGAGGTTCACGTGTCGGCAAATTGATCTCCCATTTTGAAAACTTACAAAAACAACCGGTAAGTAGTAGCTATGGAGGACTGGGTCATAGGCGTACAACTACACCAAGCAATGGATATTCTATGGCTAGTACTGGACAAAGAACAACATCTTTAGCATCTCTCTCCAGAAGTAACAGTCAGTCCCAGTGGGACTCTCTCAGTGCTGGCTATAATGGAATCGGTGGTGGTTTAGAAGTTTCTCAAAGAAGTGGATATGGTTTGGGTAGTAATGGCAGTGGCTATTCAACAACCGGTGGTGGTTGGACACCAAAACCGATTGGTCCCCAGTATGATGAGAGCTCTCAGAGCAGTGGCGGCAGTGGCGGCAGTGGCGGCAGTGGACATATGAATCACGACCATCAAGGAAAACATGTCGGCCAACTGGTTGCTAAGTTTCAACAAATGGGTCAACAGGCTAAAAATGGAGGACAAGAACCACCGCCACCGCCGCCACCACCGCTTGATATCGGTCCGTCGCCCAATGTTAACGAACTTATCGCTGAGTTTGAGGCGAAAAATGAACCACAGGATGACGATAACTTCGACTTAGATAACTTTAAATGGCCAGAAATGCCCGGACCGCCCGGACCGCCACCACCATCACTAGCCAGTTCGGATGGGTCATGGTCAGAGTGGGACTGGTACAAAACCGGTCTTACCGGCGCATAGTTTAGTCAACACTATAGACAACAACAGTTAGATTTTGGTTTGTTTTTGTCATCAAAGGAGAGTCCAAATTAAAAAAAAAATCAGATTTTATACAAATAAAAAATAAAAGACAAATCATATCATTAGTAGAGATTAGTTAAGTAACTAAATGAATGATTAGCTTTTCATATGATTTGGTAATTAATATAATTAATTATTTATGAAAAATACTGATTTAAGTTATAAATGCAAATTATGATTGAATATACARTATTACARTATTATTATTAGACTGCATATTGTGTTTAAAGTTACATATACTGTATAGTATACAGTGTATACTATGGYTTATAGTTGTTAAAAACAAATAAGTAAAACACATATACCTTTAGTAATTAATAATTGWATAAATTTATTTTTTTGTTAGTGTTTTTTGGATTACAAATCAGACAAAATTAAGTTAAACAATAATMTAATATAAACAACAGTATTATTATATAATAACAAAATTAATAACAAAATACTGTGTATAGAGGTATAGTATATAGTATATAGTATAGTATATAGAGGTAATAATAATACATTAATTTCAAAAAAAATTTGGTCTTTGATTTTTGTTGTTTCTTATTTAATCAGTACTAAAGCCGGTAATAATATATAGTTATAGTGATTAGAAATACAGTATTATAATATTATTATTATAAGAATCTTATATTTCATAACAATTGGCCCCAAATTAAAAAAAACAAATAAAATTAACACATTAGATTTTATGATATTTATATAATTTATAAAATATATATACAGTATAAATATATATATATATAATTTTTGTTGATTTTTGACATAACATGACATTGAGCTTAACGGGTCTCTCTCTCTCTCTCTCACTCTGGGATGTAATGCCTGCAGAAAAATTAATTAATTATTACCCGGAATTTAAATGTTGGAGCCCTTTATCTCCCGGTGTCCTCCCTTTCACATGGATTAGCAAAATAATAATAATAATAACAAATAACAATAATTAAAACAAAATAATACCTGTAATAACAAACAACAACAACAAAACTGATGGACAATATTTTCTACCAAAAGAAACAGAATCAGTATATTAAGAAAATAATAATAATAATAATATAATTTTATATTTTGTAATTTATATACAATATAGACACAGATATCATACAGTATATGATGAGTTATTTATACCGTATTAAATATATTAATAATTTTAAAAATAATTTTTGTTAGCAAACATTTGCTAATTATTTTGTTTCTCTTA